TATTTGAAAAGGCAATGTGTAATCAGCTTTGTAAATTCTTGGAAAAGTACAATATTCTTGACGATGCACAGAACGGATTTAGGAAGTGTAGATCAACAACACTAGCAGTTTATAAATACATTCAACAAGCACTACAATACATAAACGACAAACAACATGTTATTGGGCTACTACTCGATATGACAAAAGCATATGACAAGGTACTTTATGACATCTTACTCACTAAACTATATGGTTGCGGCGTACGAGGACCTGCATATTCCTGGTTTAAATCATATTTACACAATAGGAAGCAAATAGTACAAATTGAATATGCTAACCACGGAAAAAACGTCATCAATGCCATTAGATCACGTGAAAAGCAAATTACTTGCTCAATCCCACAAGGAAGTGTGCTAGGATGCGCGTTGTTCTTAATTTATATAAATGACCTTCCCAAAACACTAGACAAAAACGAAGCATTACCAATATTATTTGCAGACGATATTTCCATATTAATGAAGTGTGAAAATTTAAAATACCCTAATTTGCAAATACAGCAGACACTCGAAACGGTGAATAATTGGCTCCAAATCCATAATTTAGAAATAAATAGTTGCAAAACTAAATTGATGCAATTTAGATCGTACAAAAGACCTCCCTTAAATCTAGACATAGCATTCAATAACATGAAAATAGAAGAAGTTAATACATTTAGCCTACTCGGCATTAATATTGACACTCACATAAATTGGAAGTCACACATAGAACACATAAAAACCAAATTATCTAAATTCACTTACGCTCTTTTTCAAATAAAACAAAGCACTGACACACATACAGCTATGGCTGCTTACTACGCTTATGCATACTCGTGGCTGCGCTACGGTGCCATGTTATGGGGAAATAGTGTAAACGTACAGGAAATATTTGTAATGCAAAAGAAGTGTATAAGAATTCTAGCCCAAATAGATAGTACACAAAGCTGCAAACCATACTTCAAACAATACGAAATCTTAACCGTCCCGTCAATATACATACTTGATTTATGTATTTTTGTTTTTAAAAATATCGACAAATTCACACGAGTAGAAGATACACACAGCGTCAACACGCGCCATAAAAAAAGATTATGTGCGCCACCATCAAAAATAAAAATGTTAACTAATAGTCCATACTATATGGCTATAAAAATATATAATAAATTGCCAGATGGATTAAAATCTGAAAAATCAATATTAGTATTTCAAAAACGATTAAAGATATACCTAATAAAAGAATGCTTCTACTCAGTGACGGAATATTTAGAGTCCAAAATAAAATAATTTTAATTCATGTGGGAACCGTCGATCTGCCCTATACAAACGAAATGTATATACCTACTCGACATAACATAACATTGAAATACCTTGACATTGTATAATTTTATTATTGACATCCTAAACTCGACAGCAATTATACCGATTGAATTGATTATTACTATGATGTGACATATACCTGACAATTATTATTTTTTTTTCTTTTCTTTATGATTTGTAATATCTACCTACAATGTTAATAACAATGAATGTGTACCTACATAACTAAAAATGTTGCAATGTCTGTAAGAGGCCGCTAAGTATTAAGCACTGTAATAATTTTATAACCACCATCTGTACACTTAGTTGCAATAAACGCTTTGACTTTGACTTTGACTTTGACTTTGACTTAACATCTT